CCTTCAAAAACTAGTACTTTTAGATGAAGTGATTCATTAAACAGCTGCTCAGAGTCCATTCCTCTTGCAGCATCTCCATTTTCAATCCACAAGGGCTGTTTAAGAAAAAGAACAGTGAAAATGGGCTTTTCATGAGAGTAACTTGAATACATTAAATATCGTAGCTCCCACCAACTTATCCTACTTTCAACTTGAAAGCTGAAAAAGAATTGGAGAAAGCAGAAAATGATGGTGTTTTCCGGGTCTTGTAGGATAAACCCAGAGCTTGGAAACAATTGCTATAATGTAGAATCTCAACACAGAAAATTACAAGAAAAGAGGATACGGTCAACTTATTCCTAGGCTAGTGCTTTGTTTCTGATCCTGCCAGTGAGATTACAATGTCCAGGCTCTAATGGCACGGCTGCTATTAGTGTCAAAGTCGATCCAGACAAATTTAGGCTTTGTAATTTTCAATTCGCCCGAGACTTTTTTAGATTCGAAAGAATCTAGGATCGACCTTCATGAAAAAGGGCAAAAAAAAAAAAAAAGAAAGGGTATTGCGGGGATAGAAAAAACAGAACATTGAGAAACCTGCAAAGATTGAGAAAAAACTACAATTAAAGGAAAGATGTATTTTCAAAGAGACAGAGTCAATGAAAGTGTTATTGGCAAATTTGAAATCCTTAGACTATCTCCAACCTGACATCGAAATTTGAGGTAAGTTTTGCACTATTTTATACCAAATCTTGCACCAAACTAAAAATCATTTCCAACTCATTACAAAGAAAGTTACACCAAATGAGCAGTGTATAATTATTTTCTTTATTCTCCATAATTTATTTATATGAAAAATTATTTATTTATTTAATCTACTTCTTAAATTATTAAATAGATAATTATGTTTCGTCAACAAAAATAATGAATTCATTAATAAATTTAATGAGTGTAGTAAATTAATAGGAAAATCACAACTAAGAAAATATCAAATAATTATAATAACAATAATAATCATAGTATTAAAAATAATAATTATAATTGTAACAATAATTTATTAAGAATTAAATTTGTTGTATAACAAAAAAATGACACAAATAACCTTAACAAAGGTTAATGCAAAATGGAAAAGAAGGGCAAAAATGACATTAACCATTTTGGTGTAAAATGATGCAAATGAATAGTGTTGCACTCCAAAATAGTGCAAAATTTGGAATTGAGTAGGAGTGAGATTACGCCAAATATTTGGTGCAAAATGGGGATTTGGAGTAAGGGTTGGAATTGCCATTATAATAATCTAAAATGAGATGAAAATTTGGAGAAGCACAAATGTACTGGTGAAAGCAGTCATTTGACACCTGACTAGTTGACGACCTTAAGGAAGAATCCAACTCTTTTAATGGACAAAGACGAATGCGCCTCTTTTTACAAATCCTTAGTTCAGTCACTTGACCCTTCTGCATTATCAGGGAAAATAAATTGAAGGTCTTCATTGTCTCGGTAGACTTGCACAAGTGCAGCAGCCTTATATGCAAACAATCCGACCATAGCAGGCACTAGCTGGAGATAAAAGAGTGAAATATAAGAGGTTAAAGAGGAGTGAAAGAGCATGTTTGGTTAAGGTTAAAATGTTCACTTATAAGTAAATAAGTAAGTTTTAAAAGTAATAATTTCTTTATTGGTCAAAATTAGAAAATAAGAAAGTTACTTCTTAAGAGTTATTTCCATAGTGAATAACTAATTTTTACTCGAAATTAATAAAAAGGTAACTTTTTCAAAGTCCAAACATGTTTGGATACAAAAAGTAACTTTTCACCTTTTTTTGAGTTTTGCTAAACTCAAAAACTTCTGAGATATGTAAATAGTTGGAAGGGAGGTAAGGAGAATCCCCTTAGATTACCTGAAAATCAAAAATATCATGGCCAAAATGTTGAGACAGTTCCCATAGTCCATATATTGCGGCAAGAATGACAAGCCTCGGAGATGAAAGAGCGATACCACTACCCTTTACGGTTCTCTCAAATAGATCCTGCAGATCTTGGCTTCTTATTCCTATTCTGTAGAGAAAAAAATAAAAGTTTGTGCAAAGGAGAAATTCACTTAAAAGGAAATGGAACATAGCACGCGGAAGAGCAAACTTGATACTTTTTTGACTTCTTTTTCGTGAAAATCTGTGGAACATTTTCTTTTGATACATTGTCTGCATGTTTGCATAAGAGGTGGAAGTATAGGCAGCTGCAGTAATGAAACAATCAAAAATAAATGTCAGACGAACATCGATGGAATTTAAAAAATAAGCATTCAAGTTTGGGATCTGTCCGTAAATATTTTTGTTTGGCAATGAAAACAAGGCTATGCTGAATGCACACTATCCCCTCTATCATCAATCACACACACGGAAAATATAAAAAATACAGAACCAAATCAAACATGCATTTTCAACCGAAGAAAATATAGCCACTTTTCTCTTCCTGCAAAAGTAGAAGCTTTGGCTTCTGGACAACCAGAAAACATATTTCCTTAAGAGTCTTGTTTTTAGCTATTCTTGTGGACCTTAGGTAAATTAACTCAGTCTTTAGGGCACCTTAAACTTCTACAGATAAAGAAATGAATGGTATAAAAAAATAAGTGTTTAATAACATATACCTGAACAACACTCCTGTCATATAGCTCACAGCAGCCTAAGAAGAAAGGTAACCGTATTAATCAAATATTCTAACATTCCTTTTGGTTAGTTGAATGACTTAAATAACGTGCTGAAAGATTACAATCTACACTACTTAGAAAAATTAAAATGCTGAAAAAGTTGAAATAAATTTTACTCGTGTATCCGATAAAATAAAAATGAAACTATTAAGCGAAGTCTATGATTCCACACACCACTTTGGCTTATAATGGAAATTGAAGTAGCGTACTATATCTTTCAATTCATTCGGCAATATCTATTTTGGGAAAGAAATTCGAGTCCTTGACCATTACATTACAACGAAAAAGGCCAAGTCATATTCCCAATTTATGGTGGTCACATGAATGGTTCTTGGTCAGTCCACTTTGGTCATTGCTAGATCTAGCGAGAGATTTAAAGACAGTAGATACTTAGAAACTACAGCAAGCAACTTTAATTTTGGTCATCGAGGCTATTCTAACTTATCTACTGAAATCTCGTCATTCTTATGACGTGGCCCTCCTTAAGTCTACACAAAGCAAAACATGACCCAACCAACTATGTCATCATTCCCTTAATTTATATTTAGTTGGCGTCACCTCCACTTCTTGGTGTATATTTTCATTTTTTATCTTATTTACGACTAATCATTGCTTTACCTGAGTTTCATAAAATTGTTCCCTATATGAAAATGACTTTTGCCGTTCTTTTAGGCATTAAATGGTTGGTCTTCACGGCAATATATGAAGCAGTATGACGAAAGAGAGAAATACAAGAAAGTGGAGATAATTACTAGTATTTGCAATCAAGCAGAAGCTTTATTTTCCCAATAACACATCGGTGTATCACAATGTCCTTAAGCTTGAGTGTGCCTTTGCACCATTACCTGGACTGACAAAGCTATCAGACAATATCCACCGCAAGCAGTTCCAACACTCACAGTCAAAAGCAGCAGTTCCCTCTTGAGCTGCATTTGAAAGTGAAAATCATCTGCATCTTACTATATTTGAAAAACACTTGAGAGAGACATTTTCTCTTGAGTGGATTCATGGAAAATTTGTAATAAACATAATCTCAAGCGCTCTATCCTCCACACCTCATTACAAACATGTACATGTAATCCCCAGTAGGTAACCATTTTGGGAGTAACTTTTAAGTCGGCAACTTTAGAGTCGGCAGAAAAGAAAATTATCTATGTGGACCATGTTTACTCATTGGACTGATAGAAGATATATTCCATCAATTATAAATGTTATTAAAAACAAGTGCAGGAAACTTCTATTATAAAACTAACAAGCTTTTCAACAATGTTTCATGGCAGTAGCAAGAAAACTGAAGTACATTTTTATTTGGAATCTTTAAGCTTCATGACAAAATCCATTATGTCCACTCTCGTATTCCCAATGCACAAAATTAGAAAAGATCTCGATCACCAATAGTAAAATGTGCATAAAAAACTAATAGATATCAAAATAATAATAATAATAATAATAATAATAATAATAA